ACTTGATAAGTAAGTTATTATGGAAAAAAATGTTAACTTAACTTTAAATGTAGATTGTCTACCTTTGATCAATAACATTATTGAAGTGTTCAACATAAATACAATACATCAGCAAATATTAGTTGCATGCAATACTAATAATTATATCAACAATATTTATCAACAATATTCTCATTGACAAAGTACTCACAAAGTGTAATATAAGCATACAAAATCAGTTATAGGTAGTGAAATAAGTAGTTTTCAAAAAATGAAAATAATAATAATAATGATGTATTTCAAATACATGAATAACTTATCTTTACTTTTCCCAGGACGTTGATTAATCTATAAATACAGCACAAACATAGAACAAATTTCAATATAATAATATTGATGTATTTCAAATACATGAATAACTTATCTTTTTTTATTGCATGTCGTTGATTAATCTGTAAATATAACACAAACATAGAACACATAAACATAAAAACATTTAGAACAAGCATGTAACATAGAGATCACTCATTAGGAACTACTTCAATAACTCACGTAGGAAATCCCAAATGTTAGGGTGGGTACCCATTTGCTTGAGTAAAGTTGAATGGAACGATTCTAAATTATTGTTTGTACGGTGATCTTCTCCAAAGACACTAAATTTTTCTGGTCCAATTTGGTTAATCCAAAAACCAAGGATGTAATTATCCAAAAAATGTTCTTCAATGACTTGGATTTCAGGAAATTGTCTGGCATACTGTACTATGACATTGTATCCATCTAACACACAAATATTTGGACACAGTGGATTGTTTCTTGTGGCAGGCAAGTGAGGAAGAGCTAAGACCTGATAAAAAATGTATTAGACTAAGACATGTTAAATTTAATATATAAATTTAAAAAAATCACCATTCTAAGAATCCTAGCTGCTTCTTCATGCGTTCGGATTAAATTTAGTACATTGTTCAATTTTCTATGGCAGTATCGCACGATAGACTGGGTAAAGTGAAACCAACAACAAACTAATCTGCTTGTTGGAAAAATGTGTTCAACTGCATTCATCAGTGCTTTTTCATAATCGGTCACAAACCGAACTCTGTCGTAATTTAAAGGTAACATTTGTCTGATAATACTGAGTACACCACAGTATGTCTCTTCAGTCATACTCCCTAAAAGTACATACACCATTGGAAATGCCTAAAACAGAAAAAAATAATGTCGAAATAATATATACTGACAACAGTGATATTTAATATGTACTTACAACACTATTGAATACTATTTGAAATGTCAGCAGACATTTCAAGTCGGTTGGGTGACTAGGTACAGTTTTGAATGTTTCATCAATGCCAACCAAAGTCACAGTGTTCAAATCTTCTCTGTACAGTTCTATTGCAGAAATTATCCACTAAACCATTAGATTATATTCTGCATGTAGAGTAGAAATATTATCAATTTGCAACTCAATCGTTCGCCATATAGGGAATTCCGAATTTATAATGTCATCTGAAAAAATATAGTTTAAAACGAATACAAAATAGCAATAAAATAAATGATTAAAACACCATTAACAATAATATTATTCTTGAATAGAAATTCTGTGGTTTTATGTAAAATTAACCAAAGAAAGTCCATTATATTGTGAAGACTGCAGGGTCATATATTTTTTATTTTTATTTCTTCATCAAGTGCAAATCGAATATATTGGAAACCGATATCTCATACCTATAACATATTCATAGTTCAGTGATCGTTACTATGTCATTAAATTATCATTAATCGTCATAAGTTAAAAACAAAAATTATTTGTACACGTTAATTAATTAATAACTATCAATTATTGTAATTTTTACCTTTAGATACATTAGTTCTCTCTTTATATAAAATGCAAATATAGGAGATTATCACCTTAAAGAAGAATATCAAAATAAAGTATATGAATTAAACATTCCTACTTCAACTATTACTGAAGATATTTCAGAAATTGTAAAGAATATTAAATCTAATATAATTGAAACAAAATCAATTATTGAAAAAAAACCTACCTATAGAATGGCACAAATTTCAGTGGCTAATTATGTGTTAGAAAATAAGTTGATTGATTTCTCACCTCATTTGTAGGTACACATCGTACGTAATGCGTTTTCTAATAGGACACATGTCGTGAGCAAAATTGGGAAGAAATTTCAATGCACATGCAGTAGTAAAAGTACAGGAGAGTGTTACCATGTATAGACCCAGTCATTGGAAGCTGATAAATTAATTTTAGAATCATCAAATAAAAGAAAATATTTGGATAAACCTACATCAAAGTCAACAGTTAAGATACTAATTAATAACTATCAATATTCAATTATTGTAATTTTTAATTAGTCACTAATTTAATAATTTAATAATTTTTATCAGTAGTGATTAATGATTATAACTAACAATGATAAGTGATAACTAATAATATTTTAAAATATGTTGATAATCCCTTTTTTATTTTCACCGATATTATTTTCTTGTCGGCACCACTGAGAAGAACTCGTCCATTCAGCCATTCAGTCATTCGGTAGGCGGAAAAAAAGCCCACGGAAAAAAAGCCCAGAAAAAAAAGCCCACGGAAAAAAAGCCCAAAAAAAAAAATACACTGAGGAAAAAAAGCCCACGGAAAAAAAGCCCAAGGAAAAAAAGTCCAAAAATATAAATATAAATGTGAACAAAATATAATAATATATTAATAATACATTACTATACTATAACAGATAATAATCATAAATAATTGTATAAGAGGCATATATAGGTAATTTTATAAAAGAAAATATTAAAATTTCAAATATGACTTATACATAATATATAACTATTGAAAATTTTTAATGTATTTTAATTTAAGAAATATTATTAAGGTATATTATTATATAGAGGGTTTGATACTGCCATGAACTGATTCACAATAAAAATCAATTATGTATTATCATTTATCATCACAATTTATTATTATTATTATTTTTATATAGTAGTAGAACAGTGTAGGAAGCTGGTGAAAAAGATAATGTCCTGTTAATCATAGTCCGTGATTGATATCAATTATTATTATTATTATGTTACAGTATCACACTATACCCAACAAAATATTTATATTATTATTGTATTATTACAGTTGAAAATTGACTGACCTGCTGTGACTATTACTATTATAATTAACAATTAATTATTATTTTCATTATAATATATAATAATATATTATTATATTTTGTTCACATTTATATTTGTATTTCTGGGCTTTTTTTCCGTGGGCTTTTTTTTCTGGGCTTTTTTTCCTTGGGCTTTTTTTCCGTGGGCTTTTTTTCCGCGATTCAGTCATTCAGTTCAGTCAATTAGGCTCACCCATACACCACGACCGCGGTTTAACAAAATACCAAGCGCTCACGAATTTCTACCTCTTCAACGTTTCAAACGTCTGTGTTTGTTCTGCAAAACGTTTGCCGCTCCAGAATTTCCTCATAATGTCTGTGATGCTGATTATGCATCAGTATTCAGCACGATTTAAGGTATATCTTAAATCGTGGTATTCAGTATCATTCACTGTATTTTACTATATTATCTGATTTCCGTATTTGTATTTTGAATACTATAGCATGACAAAATAAATAGGTATGTCAGCAACTCGTGATACGCATGTCTGTCGTCTGTGACGTAAGCATTTCTCCATCAGGTTGAGCGGTGGAGTGGTGGTGGAGTCTTCGGCGGCGGCGGCTATTGCCGCAGTGACGGCGGTGGACCAATGAGAACCGGAGAAATGCTTACGTCACAGTAAAAGGGTGGGCGGAGGGTGGGTGCGCGATTTGTTTCTAAATCCGTAATATTGCTGACATACCTGCATAATTTGTCATGTACTATAGTCCTTAGATCATATACTATGGATGGAGCCACTGCATATTATTTTGAAGCCGATATTAGCGACGAGTCACCGAATTAGGTGTTCGATATGCGCATGCGCAACGCAACCTCTCGCATATTTATCAGCTGGTGATTATAATATTAATATTAAACGAGTTGTTTCGCGCATGCGCATATCGATCACCTAATTCGGTGACTCGTCGCTAATATCGGCTTCAACTTTTTGTATTGCTATAATACGCAGTGGCTCCATCCATAGTATATGATCTAAGCTATAGTCACAGCACAGAATAAAACAATCAGAATGGACACTGATTATAAAATATACGGGGAACATAGGATAATAACTAAATCAATGCCGCCATGTTTTTGAAGGACAAATCAGTGTGACCTCCAATGAGAAAAAAAACTATGTTGCATCATTACATAATAATTTTATAACACAGAATAAGATATTTTCAATTTCGAACGTTATCATGCTGTAAACACGTTGTTATCACAGAATAAAACAATGAAAGTGATTTGATTACAGCGGTGATAACAATTTGTCCTTCAAAAAGATGGCGACCGAGTGTCCAGGGGCTGGTCACAGTTTGATTAATTTAATCTAGAGACTACTAGACTAGAGAGCCTTTATAAATAGCTGTTATAATACATCTTAATTTTTTTTTTTTTTTGCTCAAAGTCGAAAAATGGCTGACGAAGAGCCTTTATAAATAGCTGTTATAATACATCTTAATTTTTTTTTTTTTGCTCTGTTAACTTCTCCAGGGGAAATAACGTCAAAAATCTAGCCGCCGGACCGGGAATCGAACCCGAGTCTCTCGCTTGCCGGGCGATTGCTCTACCACTGAGCTACCCGACCACATAGACCTATGACGCTATCTCCCCAAGTTAACGGGAGTTTACATTCGACCATCCTGGCGCCCACGATCGTCCTCGATCGTCGCCGGTCCTCACGTCACCCACTGTGACCGTTGCTTCACCACCTGACCACCAGAGCGCACGACCCGTATCACAACGCAATCGTCTCTGCACGACCTCTGGCGGACCAAGTCCAGGTCCCTCACAACACTGCGTCCTTCGGCACAAATCCCACTTCTGAAATTTATGTTAACTTCTCTAGGGGAAATAGTCGAAAAATGGCTGACGAAGAGTTTGAGCATGACGAGTGAGTACTTCTCAACTGCTAATTTGTGAAAAAACTTTAATTCCCTTTATTTGCACATGTGTAACACATTTACACAGTGTTTAGCTTTCAAAACATTGAATTTACGTTTAAAATATTATTATTGTTCAATGATTACCAACACTTAAACCTTTAACTATTTATGTAAGCACATTCGACTATACAACAATAGAGATTAGAGACAGAAAAGTCTAATTAAAACCATTCAATCTATTCTATGCATGCTATTACTTATTCTAAATAAAATATGCCTAAGAAATATATCAAAATCTGATATACTCTTGTATAATTTTTAATTGTGATATACCTTATATAATATTCTCCTCTCGTCAATTCTAATTAACTGTTCAACTTGGATCCAGTTCAGTCATTTCAGTTTGTATTAGACTAGGGCAACTTTTCACTGCTTTTCCGACTCAACATTTTTTTCACTCAGATTCTCATAGCATCGTGCCATAGTAGTTTAAAGAGGGGGGGAGTGGTGTTGGTAAATGTTCCGACTTAAGGATGATGTAAATACTAGACTGGGGCAAATGCCCCGGTTCCCACACCCCAAATGACGCCACTGCTTGGATCCATTATAAATTGTTATTTATTTATTTTAGTGGTGGTGCAGATGACTTTGACGAAGTTGAAGATGATGCAGATTTAGATGAATTAGATCAGCCTGAAGTAAGAACTAATTTTTAGTTTTAAAATCTTAAACCTTGATGATGATTTTAAATTTTAATTTAAAGATGTTTGCATTGACTTATTCAAACAAAAAAAATTGTTCATTACTACCTAACAGCACCAATTGTTGGATATACATAGTTGTAAACATCCGTTAACTGTCTGAGATAGCGTCATAGGTGTGTGTTGTTCGGTAGCTCAGTGGTCAAGCAATCGCCTGGAAACGACTTATGTTCGATTCCCGGTCCGGTAGCTTGGTTTTTGACGTTATATCCCGGAAAGAAGTTAACAGTGTTTCAAATTAAATTAAAAATTTTATAATTAACGTATATGTATTTTAATTTTAAACACTTAACAGGAAAATGAAGATAACATTGATATATTACCTATTCAAGAAGCTCAAAGTCAAGTTCAAAAGTCTAAACGAATCACAACTAAGTATATGACAAAGTATGTTTTCAAAAATTATAAATTATTAAAGCCTCTATAGTTTGTCTTACGAAAGAACGGGATCGTTTCGTGCATGTAGACTGATTTGATTGGTGCGTGGACAACCACTTGATCACGCTTATAACAGATAGTTGGTGGGGGGTTGAACGGCGGCGAACAAGTTTTGGTCGGTCCCGTTCTCCCGTGAGACAGACTATAAGCCATTTTATGTTTATATCACATAGTGAATAAAATTATATGATTGTAAAACTTGAAAATTATTGAAGAGTGCATTCTCATGAAATAGAAATGGTACCAAAAATGAATGATGATAATCTTGTTATTAGAGTTGACTCAATATTAGAAATTGACTGTTGTTTTTAAATAATATTCTACATACTTATTTATTTTAGGTATGAAAGAGCTCGGGTATTAGGTACAAGAGCCTTGCAGATTGCAATGTGTGCCCCTGTCATGGTAGAACTTGAAGGTGAAACTGATCCATTACAAATTGCAATGAAAGAATTGAAGAAACGTAAAATACCTATTATAATTAGAAGATATTTGCCAGACAATAGCTATGAGGATTGGGGAATTGATGAACTAATAATAGTTGACCAGTAAAATCTATTTTATATACTTTACAACTGTAAGATCATTTTTATTTTAATATTACCTAATTACAATTTAGCTTTTTTGTTCTTGTTTCATTGATTTATTCAATGTTTGTATCATTTTTTAATAAAAAGTTAAATTTCTATAAGCATTGGATATTTGATTTTTCCATTCAAATAAGGTGTTTTAAATTTATATGTGGTACCAATTACGTAATAATGGTGGGTATGGGGTTAATTTTTTTACCATTTTGCATCACAAAAATATTTGTATTTATAGATAAGTATTTTTATAATACAGAAAAGAGCTGTAGTACTTTGTTTACAAATGTATTGATGAATGATGTCAATAAGAATAATAATTAATATTCTCATTCTGTCTGATACTGTTGTAGAGAATTAACATGGGATGTAATATACAATATTATAGGTATATGAGTAGGTGTTATAGTAGCCATAGTATTTAAGGTCGGACCGAACTTTTCTCTAAATGATCGTACTCAAACAGATCCGAACCTACACACTTTTAATTGAACCTGAACCGAACTCTTAAAATATATATATATTTTTTAATTGATGTCAAATACAACTCAACATGAAAACATCAGTTAAAACCAGTCCATTCATATTCATTGATGAGATTAATCAAACAGAAAATTAAATTTTGCATTGTAAAATTGTAAATCTATTGTTGTATAATAAAAAGAAAATGTTTAAGCTCCACATAATATATTTTTAGTGAAAACTATGGTAAAATAAGTATATGACATGGTATAATTATGATTAAATTTTGTATTACAATTATATTTTTATAAAAACAATTAGTATGGATCATAGAAGAAAAACCACTATAAATCTAACCAAAAGTAAGTCAGATTTGATCATTTTTACTAAAAATAATAATATAATAAATAAATTGATATCAACTATTAAATTTTAGTCATAAAATAAATGACTTAACATTATATACAATAATACAACATAAATATAATTTACAAAATTTAAAAAAAAAAAACTATTAAATTAAGTTGTATCAATTAGTAATTAATAATTACCTAAAACTATAAGCAATCAAAATAAATTTAAAAAAAAAATACATTTAAGAGTTATCTTGTAGATTTCTAAATAGAACACATGCACAACTTGATTTTTTCCAATTGGTTAGCAATTCAATAATAATTGATGTAATCTATTACCTTATGTATAGAACTGCAAAACCGTTTAGGCAAGAATTAGTTTAATATTCTTTTGTTTGCATAATTATGTGTACAAACTGTACATATTATGTGCAACGTGTCAATTAAATAATACTTAAATACATATAATTCTTATCAAATACAAATTTTAGTATTTTATTTACCAATAATATATACATCCAAATTAATATTATACATTTATTTATGGCAACAATTGACAAACACAGTTAGCTTTAATCATAACTAATTAATCAATGTTAGCAAGATTCATAAATTAGTTACTTATTTTAATTAATTTGTTTAGGCGTAGTTTCAATAATAAATATTTTATTGCCAAGTTTAACTAAGGGATTACATCAATAGCCCAGCTATTGTTTTTTCTTATATTTATAATTGTTCTTAAAATACTATGCATACAAATTTTAATGAAAATATTAAAATAAAATCAATACAATTTTAATCATAATATGTTAAATAGCAAAAAAATGTATTTTAATTAACTCATTCAAACGTCCAGAGCTAAAAAAAATGTTTTTATTGTGTTGAAAATATACTATATCTAGCAATTTAATTCAGACTTTAATCAAAGACCTAGGCACTGTAGTTAACAATCTAGAAACTGCTTTTTCTTCGCATATAGTACATGTAACAACTTGATTAACTGATGTACTTTCACTGATGCATTCTAAAAAAAAATATATATATAATATGTAAACAAATAAGTAAAATAACAATGATGAATATATAGAGTGGGTCACCAGGTTTTCTTAAGTTAACTGTAAGGAAAATGAGAAAACAAGTTGGCCCACCCTATAGAATATTGTCATAGTAACTGTTTAAAATATCACACAATTGTCGACCGAAATGCAAAAACACATTATGTTGATTTAACCAAAAACTAACTTATCATTTTACACATTATAATAAGACTAAAGAAGTAATTATATTAATTGAATTATTAAAATATTTTGAGACAAGAATGGAGAAATTAAATGAATATTTTATCATAATTTTATTGATTTTAATTTTTATAATAAGTGTTTTGTTTAGGCATAGGTTTATATAAAATAAGCTTTTTATATCTTTATCGAAGTATGTATCTATAAATCTTGAATAGTTTTAATATACCTGAGAATTTTTGATATAGTAAAATCATGATATTAAAATTTTTTTATGAAAAAAATATTATCGAAGTTACGAATTTACGAAAAAAATAAAGAATATGATATAACATCCAAAATTTAAATTTATTTTTTCAACTTAATAATATGAACAACATGTCGGAAACTGTCAGATAATATAGATTTAAATTGTAATTTGCAACAATATAATGTTTTTTAGATAAATTATACTTGTATTGATGGTCTAAAGGTAATTTTATGTATAATTGTATTCAAAAGTAATAAAAGCTGTTTATTACAGAACTAATTAAAAATATTAATTACTTGTTATTGTTAATACACATTAAAACTTCTACATCACTATCAAAAATTGTTTATATTTGTCAATTAATTTATAATAACCTATACTCCATTCATATTAAAAAGGAACCTTGACGGCAACCAATTTATGATGACTTTAGGTCAGAGAAAACATCAGTATGCACTCAGCCTTTACTGAATCTATGATTGCTGTGTAGAAAAGCCATAGCTCTATACAAAAGTCAGCCATCGTACCGAGTACCTTCTGACATAAATAGAGTATATAACAAATAAAATTAATGACCATTCATATGTCACAAATGGTGTTCAATGTCTTAATATATTTAAAAAAAATAATAATAATTGAAAAATATACAAAAAATAATAAAAATAATAAATAAATTAAAGTAAAATATTAAATGCCCGACATTTTAGTAAACCTAATCACAACACAAGGCAGTATTTGATTTTTGAAGGGAAGTAGTTTTAAAATTTTTATGTATCTGATCAATATGACCAACACAAAGATTTTAAATGTGAAATGAAAAAATTCTAATAACTGGATTGGTTTAAAATAAAATTGGATAATAATAATTGATAGTTAATCAACAATATTATATGTATTAATGTATTATGCATATTTATTATTTAATAACTTTATTCCTATTTTTAAATTAAGATAGTTTAAGGGCCGTTCTTACAATGTCCGGTAAAGTGTCGGTTAACGCTAACCGACTGATAACAGATTTTATTACCGGCAGAATTCTTCCGGTTAAGTGTCGGTTAACTTTAACCGGACATCGTAAGAACGGCCCTAAAACTATTATTTTTAAAATTATATAGCTTAATTGTGCATATTTTAATATTATCTATTGGGTTTTAAATTTCACACAGGTCAACAATGTGTTAAATATATTATACATTGGTGTTACGATAAAAAGTAATCAAAACAATTAGCTTTTGTTATATACCTGAGTGTAAGTATCTATCACAACTGTTACACTGTGTCATGCGCTCGACGTTTTTGATAGGATAGCAACGCATGCAATTAGGGCAGAAATGGCCTTTTTTCCATGACCTGGCCAGAAACAAACCAGAATACCCCAATATGTTAAAATTTTATTTGTATTAAAATATAAAATGTGTTAATGATTTCAATGTATTATTTTCACAAGAAAACTGATGAAATGTATGTACATGTAATGAACAATATGAACAAAATAATTCAAAATAACTTTCAATATGTAATATACCTGGAACACGGTGCACACAATGTACGACAATAGACTTTGGAACCATTTTTTTCAGTTTTCTTAAACTGAAATAAACACACCATAGTTGAATGAATAAACAAATTTCAGTTTGTACACAATTTCAAATTAAAACAAAACATTAGGTTTAACAAAATATAGTTAATTTTTAACTATTACCTCGTAAAACCATTTAGAATCACCTGGTCCCGGATCAGAAACCCCACACGAACTGCACATAGCACATTCTTGACAATGCCAACGACCTTCAGGTACTCTACGAAGTCCTACACAATAAATGTGATATCTAGACAAAAAATAAAATTCACAGAAGTCATAAATTAAAATCATCATACTCAAATTATATTTTAACTTACCCTCTATCACAAAGGTCGCAGAACAACATTTTATCTTCATCAGCCACTTCCTTACACTGAGCACAAGATTTACATTCATTACATTGCCAATTGTAACGCTTTATGTAGGGAACCATCTCCAATGTCATATCCAAACATGTAGGATGATCTAAAATTGTAACATAATAAAAACATTTTTCATGACATAAATTTAAATGAATATATTTAGATTTAATAAATTGTTCTTACAAATCGTCAAACATTTTGAACAATGAATTAATGGTTCAACCGATCCAATTTTGTTTTTATCTGCAGTGCCAAGACATAATTTGCATTCAGCTCCTTTTTTATCACTCGGACCATACTCCAAACAATTTTTGTCTGGTTTGTTGTCAATGTCGATTGAATCATCACTATCACTATTAATTAATATTAAACATGTACACTTCATGGCAAAAATGGTTAGTTTGTAAAATACCCTTTTCTGATTAAATCTTTGCCAATGAAATTAGTCCTACACCATAGTATACTTAACCCTTGCTTATTTACAAATTTATCATGCAATTCAATATTTTTAGTTATGTTAATTTAGACATACAAAGTTAATGATTTAATTTACCTAGAGTCGTCTGAAGAACTATCTTCCGATTCAGATTGGCTGCTTAAAGAAACAGGAAAGTCTTTATCTACAGATTTCAAAGGACCATACATAACAGTGTTCATTGGCAAGTAACGTAAATCTTCACTAGAGTATCTAAAAATTACAAAGTAACTTGAGAAGTTCAAAACAAATTTCAGTTTAGTTACTTTAACTCTTACGTTGAGTAGTAATCACAGAATTGTCCGGGTAGTAAAGCCAATGGATAACTACCAATTTTAGGTTTAGGCACGGCCATTTTCTTACATTTGTTTTTTGGATAATGCACAATGAATGTTTGCATATCCATTGAACACTTACGAGACTCTAGACGAGACTTGTTTAAATTGGCATTCCAATTGGCAACAGCTTCCATAGCTCGGTCACGTAAATCTAACTTTGACCCATCATTATTTGAACTAATTGTCATCAATGCTTTATGCATGAAAATAAATATAATATATAATAATAAAATCTCTTTTTTATGTTTATGTTTAGTTATTAACTACAGAAGCTTTTTTTATACTATACCTCTTTGTCGATTAGATAATTCTTTGGCATGTTTAAGTCTCATATATTCCCTCAGTTCTTCATATTTTTCTGGAAAATCTGTATACATGATATCTAATACTTCCGAACTATACAGAACTGTTAAACCTATTTAACACACACATTAAAATTAATATATAGAAAGGTAATTATGTTTTATAAACATACCAAGATCACATAATGATTCAGCAACCAATCCACTGTCACACAAGAATGTTCGTTCTTCAGCTTCGACATTACGACGTTTCAATCCAGGGTATTTTCTTTTGAATGATTTAACACCCAAGAAATTTGATATCTGCTCTTGAATCATATACAACTCTCCACCATCCAATGGCCATTGGTACTCAGCAATTTGATCAACAGTTAATGTTTTATTACTATTATAAATAAAGATACTCATTAAAATACTATTGGTAATTGGTACAGCAATTTTTAAAAAGAATAAAATGTTTTGTTAAACATTATTATATTTACCTTTCAAGATCAATGACTTCCATTCTTCCTTTCTTCATTCTAATACTATCATTTGTAGTACCACTAATAGACAAATCTTCTTCACCTAAAAATATATTTTACCAACATATTATAATATCCTTTGTTTTAATTATTTAAAAGTTTTAACATACCTAAAATAAAATTCCTAGCAGTTGTTTGGGACAGACTATTATTACAATCAGCACTCATACGAGTTTCATCATCAAAATTTTGAGGTGGTGGAAGAGATTTCTTCATCTCGGCTGCACGAGCTTTTTCTTCTTGCATAAGCCTTTTCTTCTCATGCCACTGCAATCTTCTTTCTTCTGCTCTTTGTTTCTTTTTCATTTTTTTTTCTTTTAAAATATCATTGCGGAGTTTTATTTTTTTTTTCCTTGCCTCTAATTTTCTTTCCCGTTCTTCTTCTTTTCGGAGTCGCTCAGCTTCTATCATTGCTACTTGTTTGGTTTCTTCTTCTTGATTCATTTCTTCATGAAAAGTTTCTCCTTCATCGTCTACACGTCGACTATTTGATGCTGTATCACTATCTGATCCATCGCGGCCACGACCACCACGACCTCCTCGTCCTCTTCGCCCTCGACTACCTTTCCCTCTGATACTCTTTCCTCGCTTTGGTGTTGATGCTTCAAAGGAATCAAACATTCCTGCCCCTCCACTCATGTCTTCCATATCAAACAATGGAACATGAAAAACAGGTTCATCTTCAGTACTGCCTTCTTGAACTTTTGACTGTTGTTGTTGTTGATATTCTAACAATAATTGCTTTTGTTGAGCTAAAGCTTTTGGGGGTCTACCTCTTTTTTTAGGGGTATTTAAAATCTGTTGCTCTAAAAGAGCAATTTGTTCCGCACTGAGTTTAGGTGCAGGGCGAATAGTAGCAAATTCACTAAAAGATTTAGAAGGTTGAGAAAGAGCATTTTTTAAAGGACTATCCCCCATAGCAATATGTTTATTTGTAATTTTTTTTATTAATTCAGATTTAACATCTGGACGAACTGTAGTTTCAGATTTAATTTCTGGATTTCCAACTTTAGGTAACTTTAATGTTATTTTACCAAGTTTTGGTGATTCTTGAGACTTGCAAATAGGAGTAATGGTTACATTGGAATCATTTAAAAATTTTTCTACTTCATTCATTTTAGCTGAACCCCATTTTGGAGGCTCATCGTGTTTACCAACTGTTGCGTTTTCATTAAGACAAATAGAGCTACATGCTTCTTTAGACATTTCTGGTACATTACTAACAATCTTATTTTGTGATTTTTTAATTTTAGTTGGCTGATCTTTAATAGCAAGTTTTATTTCTGCTTCTATTTTATTAGCAATAGAGTCTTGACCAACTTTCGGTAAATTTTCATTTTGTTTACATTCTACCATAGTTGGATATTCAATAACAGAAGGTTGATCACACACTTCAGATGAATTCCCAAGCGATTCAGGTGATTTTTTTGACATAAGAGCTGCTTTTAAAATATCAGACTTAAACATTAGAGAGTCTATTTCATCATTCTTCTGTCTTATATCATTATCTGGTACTTCCTTTGATAACATATTAGGCAGTTTATTTTCAACATATATAATTTTTTTAGAATTTAGATTTTTACTTTCTAAATAAGTAACATCATTATCTTTCTGAGTATTAGGTAATTGTGAATCAGATAATTCATTTTTTATTTCATCATGAATATCAATTTCATTTTTTATTTCATTATATTTATCAGTACATTCATAACTGGATTCAACCATAGATTTGTCATCTTCAAGTTTCACAACTATTGGACTAGGGTTTTTATCTTGTGTTATAAAGTTAGATTGTTTGTCAACTACTAATCTTTCTAAAATCACTCTATAGTTGTCATTAACACTATCTTTCACAGCATTAAAAACTGTATCTTTATCATAAGCACCTATGCTAAGGGCATTTTCTTCAGACGGTTTTTCTTTTTTTAAACATTTTTGTTCTTCAGCTGTTAAATTAACCTTTTTTTTGTCAATAGATTTATTCTCAGCTAATATACTTTCTTTTACATCAGTATTTTTATGTATATTAGTAGCAGTTTGTATAGATTTGATTTTATCAACATCAAGCAAATTATCCACTTCAGTACTTTTTTCAACACTTTTTGGTACACTGGTTTTGTTTTCAACTAGTTTAACAACAGATTTGAATGCAGTAGATTTTTCTTCTTCAACTTTTATAATATTTTCAGTAACATTGGATTTTTTTTTTAATATTTCTTCAGCATAAATGTTGACTTGTTCTACCTGTTTTAACTTTATGTCTTCAGTAATATTTTCAGTTATGTGATCAATATTTTCTTCACAAACAGATTTTAGTGGCTCCAGCCTAGACGTTTCATTTATTTTTGAATCAGTAGGTTCAACTTTAACTTCAACAGTTGATGTTACAAAAGTTGGTCGTTTCAATCGAGGCCGCTTTGGTTGGCTATCATTTTCTGAGGATGACCCATCATCATCAATCTTGAAAATATTTTTTTTTAAATGTTCCAATTCTTTTTTTGTTTCTTCACTAAATATATTTTTTATATCTAAAGCATCAGAACTGCTATCAACTTGTTCATCGGAAACTTGAAGAGTGACTACAGGCTTTTTAACAGTTTCTGATGAACTGATATTTGATTTTACTATTTCTAGTCGATCAACTGGTTTTTCAGTAGATAGTGAAACATCAGCCGTAGTTGAAACTTTCGAGCCAGAATTATTGTTTAACTTATGTAGTTCAGTTGGTTTTGGATTAATTTTATATATTTCTGATTGTTGTACAGTGGTTTTAGGGACTTCTGTTGCTTGTACAGTAGATTTAGGTGTTTCTGTTGATTGTATATTAGATTTAGGTATATCGGTAGGTAGAACATCAGATTTATTGACTTCTGAGGTTGTGGAGATTGAAGGCTTGGCCACGGGCGAAAATACAGGTCGAACAAGTTTAATTCGTTTAGGATTAGGCTTAGGGTTGATATTGTCATCCTCAACTTTACGCTTATCAGAAGCATCAGTAGCAATCTTTTCTTCCTCCATATTGGTTAATACTTAACAGTATATTATAATACTCTAAAATAAATTCAATAAATTAATAATTTTGATAAAGAAAATAAAACATAATTCTAATCATATTAACTAAAAAACAGATATATGTACTACCTAACTCCAATAGCACGATCGAAGTTGGACCATCAGTCTATCCGAAAAGTTGTATTTATTTCAAATGAATTCAATACACAACATAGCATTAAGTAATTTCCACAATCACACACAAGAACGGCGCAGTGGTCAAAAACACCAAACACAGTAATTGCTATATCACTTTGCAGCAGTAGTTGGTTGAACGACCGACACTCCAATGTCCACCAAAGTCCAGTCACTGGTAGAGGTAGACGATAAGTTTATACTTGTCAATCGTCAGTATTCGTCAGCCGTCACTCCATTTCCATACTCAATACTGGGCATTCGGCATACTCCCGACTCCATACTTAATATTTCAAGACTGGAGAAATTATGTTTACATCTCTCCGGTGGCCCCGTTTATCGTTTCTTAAATATTCGAAAAAATTGTGCATGTGGTCAAACTGTTAACGTGGTCTCATTCCTTATCATACATTAATCGCTTTTTTCCTAAATGAAATGTGATTTTTTCCAGAATACTCAATACGATGAAAAATTATTTCTCGATGTTTTGTTGACGTTTATTACGTATGTCGTAGGTATATAATAGAAATCCACACTATTTATTATTTTTCAGTTATTCACGAGCAAATAAAAAATACACGCACGAATATGGTTGAGGTGAGAAATATGTTTGTTATAACTTTATATCCTTATATGTAATTTTGCTACATGTACTAGTTGTAAGGCTGAAATGTATATTTTGACCATCAATTCAGATTTCATAACTACAGCTATAGCTATAACTTACTGTTTAATTTATCCACCCTATTATCGAAAATGTATTTTTAAAACTCAATTGTACTTAAGTAAATACAATTTTACCGTTTGGAATTATTTTGAAGTGCATGGTGTGATCGACTGCCACAGGTATAGCTAATATATACCCTGTTCATTCGGTGAACAGGCCGATATTGCACATCCCCACTTGACACCAGTTTCCCTATGACAGAGTGTCATGCATAGATGTGCAGAAAAACTGATTTACATCGGGTTCTCTCGGTAGACATTGTATACATTAAAGATAAAGTTGCTAGTAGTCTTAATTTAAACATATAATATTTTGAAGATTATTTCCGGGATTATTTATAAATTGAATCACCTAATCACTGAAAATATCTTAGTATTTTGAAAATAAATTGATATTGAACCAATTTTAACAATAAATAATTTATTTAAGATGTAACTTTTTACCTATACTAAACGGTAGCTTAGGAAAGTGTAGTAAGTGCAAGTTTGTAACAACATTTACCCTTATAACAAATTTTAAATATTTATGCCTTGTAAGTTCTGAAATTTGAAATGAGTAAGTTTTTAGGAGCGCCTATTACCCACACTAAAATGTATTCTTTCGTTTGATAATTGTAATCACTTGTTTTTTTTATTATGTTATATTTATTTAGGGAGAACCAGTTAATCAGTCTGATGAACTACCGAAAGTTGAAAATGAACAACCAATTGAAACTGAACCGGCTGTCGCAGAATTAGTTGTGAAACATCCGTTAGAGAATAAATGGACACTTTGGTTCTTCGAAAATAAAAGTAAAATTTGGGAAGAAAATATACATGAAGTTGCTAGTTTTGATACTGTTGAAGATTTTTGGTGGTAAGTTGTCTTTATTCTGGGGCCCGGTTACACTCTCGAAACATTCGTCTCATTCAGTAATTTCAAAATATAAACTTTGTATCATTACTGATGCTCCTAGTATATTATGAGCTTATAACAAAATAAGTCCTTAACAATGACCTACAAATAAAAACTCATCATACATTTGCAAACTGAATTATAAGTGTTTTCACAAAAACCTAAATTGAATACTAACACCTTAATTCAAACCATGTCTTCAAAATGCATCCCTGATTTAAGATTTAAATAAAAAACTGGAATCATGACTTACTACAAAATAATTATAAAATTGAGTTTCCTCCTATGCTCCTAGATAATAATAATATTCTCTAAACAGTGTGTAAGGAATTACTGTATTGGTAGATGACTTTCCCTATCAAGCAATTCTCAATGCAATGTTAAATGTTTTCTGATATCATATTAACTTGTTATTAATTGTGTTAATTGTGATCATTTTTCTTTTCTCAAAAAACTAAAATAATGAATATAAATAATTTATATAATATAATAAATATAAATTTAAATGTGCAGTAATTTTATTAAAACATTTTAACTAAGTAGAGATTTATTAATTTATTATCAAGTAAATTCCTTAAAAAAAAAAAAAAAACCGTACCAATTACAAATCTTATACATTTTAGCTTATTCAATCACATCAAACGTCCAAGTCAACTTTCAAACCAATGTGACTACAACTATTTCAAAAATGGAATCAAACCTATGTGGGAAGATGAAAAAAATAGTGCCGGTGGTCGTTGGTTACTACAGTTACCACCAGCAAAAAATAGCCAACATGTTGATGAGTACTGGAAAAATATTGTGAGGAATAAACATTTTTTTTTATTTAATTTTCATTTACGAGTAATTATTACTTTTAGATATTAAGTATAATTGGTGAAATATATGACCAAAGTTCTGAAATTAATGGAGCTATAGTTAACGTACGAACCAAAGGAACTAAGATAGCAGTATGGACAAACAATGCATCAAAAGATAATGGCAGTAATATTATGGCTATTGGGTATGTAAAGAAATTAATTTGGTACTAATGGTATATTATGACATACAATTTATTGTTTACTAATAAAACTATAGTTAGTAATAACGCATATTATATTATTTATAACCAGAGCTTGGACTTAACAGAACTAATAATATACGTAATAGGTATAACTAGGGGTGTGCCGATATCACTTTTAACCGATAATCCAATATGTTAAGCAAATTTAAAACCGATAACCGATATATTCAAAACTGTGAATTTATATCCAAACGAATGAACCGATATTATAAAATACCCTATAATACTTACCGATACCCGATAATACTTACATAACATGATAACATCAATATGGCTATAAATACGTTAAGTGTTTACAGTTATAACTGCGCGCAGAGTTGATAATATTAGATTATACATATTATAATAATAAATTGTTTTTTTTTTTTTATATTGTATCAAATATCGGTTTGCATATCGGTCCAGCCCTAGGTATAACCTAATAAATTGTGAAATATAAATAAATAGTTTCAAACCTAGATATTACATGCCTAGTCTACATAATTTAAACAAATGTTTTATTTGAATTTTGAGTATATTTTTATTGACTTTAATATTGTTTGATTTAAATTTTAGAAGAAAGATAAAAGAAGTTTTGGGCGCACAAAATGAAAAGATGGTTTATGAGTCTCACGCAGATACAGCAAATAAACAAGGATCATTTACAAAACACGCATTTATGATATAAATTAGCAAAAATTAAAAACAAATGTTTTAAAATGTTAAAAAATAACTTGCATTTAAAATGAAAAATAAATATTAAAAATTAAGAAAGGCTTAATACTTGAAATGCTAATTTAATTTTTGATTAAACTATATCTTTGTCCTGAAGAAATATATTACCTCAAGAAAAATAATGAATTCCTTGACATACATATCTAATCATACCCTTCAAACTGATTTGTATCTAAAAACTGATCAGGAAGAAGCAATATATTCTATAAAAGATTACACACCTACCTTATAATTAACACAAATTCCTTAAGAGGACGTGATACCTGCATGTGTTGTCTCCGTCTTACAAGTGCGTAACATAGCAAATTTTACGTTCAGAAGAACACGTGAAACTCCGTTAGCTTAAAAATTAGAGGGAATTGACCTGTTACGAAATCTAAAGGTAAAATTATTATCTAGGCAACCTTGTGGGCTTTTTATTATATTTTAATTTTAACGTGATTTATGATTATATTAAAATTGTAAATTGTTCTTACATTTTAAAATACTCATAACTCGCTTTAAAATTAATATATATTAAAAATTCCTTGAGGTTGTCTAGATCAGTGCTTCTCAACCTTATTACTGTGGCGACCCCCCTTTTTAAATTTCATTTTTTTAGCGACCCCAACATATATATTTTTTACATGTATGATTTAAATAATTCGATTGCGACCCCAAGGTTGAGAAACACTGGTCTAGATTATAATCTTTCCTTAGATTGTATAAGAAGTCAATTCGCTCTATTTTAATTACTGGAGCCACACATGTTGTGGGGAGCGTGAAATTTGCAATGTTACGCACTTGTAAGACGGAGACAACACATACGGGTATCACATTCTCTTAATCCACTAATCCTCATAGACACCTGAAGATAAGATACTTTTATTGTACCCTTGGTTGTAGATTATACATATATTTGAAAATGAAAAAAAAACATATGTAATAAGTTCTAATAGTTATACTTACTTGTGAATTATTAAAATGTTATAATTTTAGTATAATAGTATTATATATATAGTATTATGCTGTTACATTTATTTAATTAACATTAATTTGCATAGTTTTATATAATTTTATTTTATTTATTCATGAAGTACCTACAACCTACTTAAAGATGTTAAAAAAAAAAATTTATATGATGAATTATAAGCAAGGTTTAAGTGATATAAATTCAAATGTATCGTTGTGGAGAGAGGATCAAGCAATTACAAAACAATACTTTTAAAATAAGCACACATTGTAAAACAAATATTCTTTTCTGTGCTCAAAATCTAAAAAGTTAATGAGGATTTATCTTCCATATTTTCCGTGGGTAGGCCCCTTAGGGGGAGCAATTTTTTTTTTGCCCCGGGGCGCAAAATGTCTAAATGCGGCACTGCTTACTATAGAAACTGATATTTATTTTAATATCTGTTGAATATTTGCAGCCATTTTATTACATGCAGTTTTCAACAATTACAAATACTCGTATGTTCATTTTTTCTGTTTTAAATTCTAAAATATAAGAACTTGCTATGACAATTATATTTAATATATTTTGCTAACCAGATTGCAATAGTGTGTCAAATAGTAATTTTTTATTGGAGCCTTATTTAAATCAAATATTTCTAATAATAATCAATAATGTATTTATTCAAATTATTAATCTTTTTAATTAAAAACAGAACATCTCACACTTATGGAGGAGGGGGTTGTCCCCTTTGCCAACCCCCCCCCCCTCTCAGGGACGCCCCTGATCGAAAACGGGATAACTACTCGTATAAGAAGTCGATCTATTCATGAAAAGTTGTCAATTTCATGAAGTGGAAACTGTAAATAATATACTGTGTGTCCACTTGCACAGTAATACAAAATATAAATATTTAACTAAATTCAATATAAAAAAATAAAAATACTTATTTAAAAAAACCAAAAATGTCGTGCTCATCAGATCAAGTTGGTTTAAAAATTAGAGTGCATTGACCTTAGCATGGGCTTTTTATTATATTTTAATTTTGAAACCATTAGTAAGAATATTTGAAGATGTACTGATATTTGGTTTATGGATTTTTTTTCCGATTACCAAGAGTCAAGAGTGAGGAAAAACTACGGATCAATCTTATAAAAAATAAATACCTATAAATTATAATAATTATTATAGCATTAGTAGTTAGGTAATAAATACTAATATTTAGTCATTAAAAGATACATTGTACGTGGTAATATAATGGTCACAGATTAAATGAAAATTTTTCATTAGTCGAGAATCTTGATTATCAATAAACAGTGCTGTCACATGGCATAGTCGCGATGTCGATGTACCCAACAATAAAATTACATACTGAATTGTATATTCAAGACGACCGTTTTTCCCAATATAATAATGTAGTCTGTACTCTACTACTCTGAGTACTCTGTACGTTACTAATTTCCTAGACTCAGTACTCTATACTCTAGTTTATATTTATTACATATTATTTATTATTAATATAAATCCGTCTTGCTTCAACCGTCTGCGTTACGTGATATTTAGAAAACCATAACGTTTTTAATAGAATTGACGTTGATGGATTTATAGTGCGCATAGAATCGAAGTACATCGTTTTCATTTTAAAATCTTGCCGTAATATTATTAAATTAAATAATATATTGTATAAATGTAAGTTATTTTTAACACCAGCAAACTACGATCCGTTGTCCTCTACGACACATCATATTTTTTAGACAACCGTTTCGTTACAGACTTATAAAATATAAAACCAATGGCACTAATTGCTAAAGACGACGTAGGTAACGTCCATTTGTTGAACGATTCGTGGAAACTATGGTATTGGAGATTCAGCGGAACTGTGGTACCGGACGTCAATTGGACGGATAATTTGCACGGACTGTGCGAGTTTGACAGTGTTGAAAAATTTTGGAGGCAAGTACTGACCAACAAAATATAATATAACATTGCTAGGAGTTAGTAAACTCACAGGATGTACTTGAGTGCATTGTATTATTTATAAATCAATGAATCACTTTTTAACTTGCATACAATTAGATTTGAGGAACAACATATTTTATATAGTGTTCAAGGAAAAACATTTTTCCTTTAACTATGTTAGGTACACCTATTCGTCAATACTTAATTATACATTTTTTACCCAGGTATTCATCAAAATTTGACTATTCAAGTTACGCTTCACCAGTCTATGTTTTGTGACATGTGTTTATTTTATTTTTTTTTACAGTTATTATACCTAATAGATTAATTTATTTAAAATATTTAAAATCAAAAATATGGAAGTAATAGAAATATAATATAAAATTCATAATACAAATTATGTAATAAACCTAATATTTAAAGTCGTCAATGTCAGTAATACTAACTACCACCAATATAATGTTTTATGGTTTAACGATGTAGGTAGCTACTATTTAAGTGAAACAGCTTTTTTTTTTAATATCGAAGCTAGATACGTTATTTACATAAATTAAAGATTAAAAACAGTGATAACAATGATCAGCTATTTCCTTTAAAAAATGTTATTAGTCACTTAATATTTTAGGTATTAAAAAAAATTGTATTACAGGGCCAGCACACATTTATCATTTTTACAGGTAACTAATTATAATTTTATGTTTTTTATTCACAGTATCTTTAATCATATTAAAATGCCAAGTATGTTAACGACTGGCTGTGATTACTCTGTATTTAAATCAGATATAAAACCGATGTGGGAAGACCCATCAAATAAGAATGGTGGACGTTGGTTAATAAAGGATAGTGGACTATTAGATCAGTACTGGATGGATATTGTAATTTTTTTGTCTGCTTTGTCGATTTCCACTATTTATGAATATATATTTTATTTTTAGTTGTTGAGTATGATTGGTGGAATGTATGATCCTTACAACGATAATATTTGTGGTATTGTCTATAATAGGCGTCAGTACAGTAAAATATCTGTTTGGATTTCTTCATCTGACACAAATATTGTTAACGACATTGGGTAATCTTATATTTAATATTTATATATAAAGTTAATTTGATTACAATTATTTTGAAAACATTTTTTTAGGTCAAAACTTAAGCATTTCCTTGATACAAAAGAAAAATTGAAATTTGAAAAACACAGTGAATTTTTGAAGAAGAAAATAAACTCGCACAAAAAAAAAATTTTGGCCAAATGACACAAACGCATATTTTAATATGTTATTTTAAATTAATATATTAACACACAATCTATTTTATTCCAATATAAATTTTAAAAAGTTATTACAATTTAAATGATAAGTCAATTTATTAAAAATGTTAAAGCTACTAAGTCTAATAGCCAATAAAATATGTTAATACTTCAGTAATGATACAATCCTAGGTATAGTATATTATATAATTACAAGAAGTGAACAAAATATTGTTGAGAAATTATTATTGTTAATGTTTTTTTTGCCAGATAACATTGAAAACGTTTAAATAACTAGTCATTAATTAAATTTGTGCGATTATATATTTATTTTAAGTATTAATTTATTTTGTTTTTGACTTGTCTTAACTATTATTGAATAATGTTGTAAATTAAACTTCTAATATAATATTTATATATATTATATATTATATACACAAAAGTTTGGATTATTTTAGATGATTGTTAATAGTTAAACCTTTAATATTGCTTCTATTTTATCAAAAATACAAAACTGCCATGCCTAAAATATCAATTGTGTTCAATGTCCTATCTATAGAAAGTACTGACATGAAACCTAAACCACTGATTCTATCCAATCAAATTTATTTCTTCTTTGCCTCCGGCCAAGTAGGACCATACCATTAAATAAATATGCTGCCATATATCTACTTATTCCATGTTATTTCTCTTAATTAAATATTTGATTCCACTAACTTTGCATCAAGACATGTACGCAAAACAAAATTTGGGTTGGGGTTTAAAGTAGATTTGGGGGGTGGGAGGGAGTTCATAATCTATAATATATATAAAGAAATTACACAACTACTATTAATTTTCAGGGCAGTTTGAACCTCAAAATCACCCCTGTTTATGTGGCTGTCTGCATCCATTTTTACTTAGTTCACCTAAACCGTGGTTTTCCCCCACAATGTGTGAGGATTTTCCCAAGTATTTTTCTCTACACTATCATCCTTAGTTCATCAGCTTTTCTCAGAAGTCATGTTTCACCTCCATATAGCATTATTGGCTCTATTAAAATTTAGTACATTCTATGTTTTGAATTCATAGAAATTGCTCTTGAGCTAAAGATTATTCATAAGCTATAAAAAGCATGTATTTGCAGATTGCAATCACACCAGTATTTCTGTTTTCATGTCATTATTAGAGTCAAGCCGAGAAATAGTAGCAAACCTGGCAAGATGACAATTTTGAGCCCCTCTTACCCTCAAATTTGTTTATTTTGCGTTCCTCTACTCATTCAATAATTTGTGCCCCTGGCAGGCACCACTTTGCCTGGCTCTGGTCATTATCTTGAGTTACTATTATGTACTCACTACTTGGTCTTTTCTTCATAAACATTGAATCCTACTTGATTTTTATTTGTCTGTTATAGTTCATTTTTAAACAATATTGGACAGAATCATAAATAACAGCATCACCGCTCTTTAGTTAATGGTAAATTGAGAAACTAGAATTGTTGAAAGCAATACACTGTATTTTTAAGAAAAAAAAATGTTCATTTTTAAATATATAAAAATATAATTTACAAAACTAATCAATACATGTTGCAAGGTAAATTACATCACTCAATAAAATACAAAATTAATTTATAGAAAAAAAATATGTCTCATTAAAATGTAAATTTTACTAAGCCAACTGTCCACAAGAACCAATTATTACTTTCTCGGTTGGCAGGCCAGCTTTTGTTCCACATTTCTCTATTTTCTTCATAACATCAATACCACTTAACACATGGCCAAACACAACATGTTTATTATCTAACCATTCTGTACGAGCAGTGCAAATAAAAAATTGTGAACTATTTGTATTAGGCCCAGAATTAGCCATAGATAAGACTCCCGGTCCTGTGTGTTTTAGTTCAAAATTTTCATCATCAAACTTCTTACCATAAATTGACAGTCCACCTGTACCATTGTTATTAGTAATGTCACCACCCTGACACATAAAATTTGGAATAATTCTATGAACCGTGGTGTTTTGATATCCAAAACCCTTTTCGTGAGTACATAAACAGCGGAAATTTTCTGCTGTACGTGGCACAATATCAGCTCGTAGCATGATAATAATTCGACCAGCATCCTTTTTGCCAATTTTAATATCAAGATAAACTTGTGGGTTCTTTGCCTCATCTTTGGTTTTGTCCTCTTCAATTTTTTTATCGTCCTTTGGTTCCAGTGTCTTACCAGCATACTGTACAAGCCAGTCATCTTCCGACCATACTGGTCTGGTTGAGCCTCGGTTAATCTTCTGTGGTTTAGCTAAATTGACACGGATAGTGCGACCAAATATTTCTGCTTCATTCATGTTGTCGATAGAATCCAATGCATCTTCGGGTTGTTCGAATTCGACAAATGCAAATCCCCGGTGTTTTTCCGATTCATAATCTAACGGCATCTAAATTCATAATATATTTTACAATTAATATTCATATTTATTAATGAAAACTAAGGCTGATCATTACCTGGACATCGACTATATCACCAAAAGGAATGAATGCAGATCTCAATACTTTATCATCTACTTCTTCAGCTAATCCACCTACATAAACGGTGCGCTTCAAATACGACTTGTAAGTATCAGCGTCGTTCATCTTGTTGGTAATTATTAAATTATTTAACGATCTTAAGACTAAACGGACAACAGTCAAAAATCGAAATTGTCAAGAATTAGGGAATAGGGATACTTATTACCAAATACTATATTATACGATATCGTATATAGTATTTGTTATTACTTAGCAGTTGGCCGGTATTCGGTAATCAGTATCGTTATTTGTTATCATTCATCAAAACAAACAAAATACCATAGAGTATAATTGAAATAATATGATGCTGCCAAAGCCAAATGGACGGCGAGATACAGTTATCCCAATCATGATAAGAACTAGTCATATCATGGTATCAACCTTGAAAATAAAAATCCCAAAATATTCTTTTAACTATAATGGAGACTGCACACTTGAAATACAACGCACTCTAGTGGATAATCTCTGAAATTCTTAAAGGAGACAAAATATAATATAATAAATAATTAAATAATAAATATTTTATATTAAATATTAATAAATAAATAACTGTTTAAAGGGAAATTATTATATTATTAACAGGACAAAATATCTAATGGTCAAGATATCCACGGTAGATTACACAGTAGATTACACTTTACTTTCTAATAAAATTAGCTAAAATATCACAAAGTATACTGCATTACTTCACAAACATTAGTCAAATACTCAAATAATATAAAATAAAATGTACAGTTAAAATCTAAAAGAATTTTCATGCATTTTGAGTTTTGACAAAACAACTAAAATTATATAAATAAAACAAAATTATAATAAAATAGAAAAGGATCTAGGAAGTAATCTGGTTTCTATATAATTCCATAACCCCCCAAATCCACCCCTGCGTTGAGTTTTTAATTGTTGTTGATATATATAGATTTATATATATTTTTTCTATTTTTAAAAACGTTTTTCTATTTAATTAGGAAATAGGGCATAATTCTAGTTTAGCGCCCATGCGAATTTTTCGATTTTTTTGTAGGAAACCTATGTATTTCGACGAGTTTAAAACGATGGTGTAAAAATTTGCGGAAATGATTATTTTGGAAGTTACAGCCTTCCAAAGTTTGCGAAAAAGGAAACATTTGGGAAACTCCCGTGGACGTCCTGTGTTGTTAGGGCAATAATACATTTCATTGTTCTTAAAAATTTAAATTGTAGTCACCCTGAAGCAGCAGAAAACTATACATGTCTTCAAACCAGGGGCGCCATTTGGGGGGGGGGGGCAGGGTGTGCAATCGCACACCCTGTAATTTTGGTGTCCACAATTGGCCTAGGCCTCATTAATACTATGGCCTTCAGTTTGCTTATCTTTAATTGTGCATGCACCGCAGCTATTCACTGATAATCATAAATTATATTATAATATTATTGTGTTCTTCAATTTATATAAAATAAAAATATAAATAAAAAAAATATAAAAATATTTGTATAAAAGTCGTTATAATAATAAACTATTATATTTCAAGTTGTTTATTATTTCTATTGCATTGCACGCTTTGCTTTCAGGGGCGCCATTTGGGGGGGGGCAGGGTGTGCACTCGCACACCCTGTAATTTTGGTGTCCACAATTGGCCTAGGCCTCATTAATACTATGGCCTTCAGTTTGCTTATCTTTAATTGTGCATGCACCGCAGCTATTCACTGATAATCATAAATTATATTATAATATTATTGTGTTCTTCAATTTATATAAAATAAAAATATAAATAAAAAAAATATAAAAATATTTGTATAAAAGTCGTTATAATAATAAACTATTATATTTCAAGTTGTTTATTATTTCTATTGCATTGCACGCTTTGCTTTACTTTACGCTTAAGTCATAAACTCAGCTTTGAAAAATTAATTTGTATTTTGTTTGATATCCTATTTGAATATTTTATATTTAGTTTATTAATGTATGTGTTATCTATAAAAATATGTTTTTATTAAGTATGTTTTTGATACTAAAATTCTGTAGGTAATGAAAAACTGAAAACACTAGAAAGGTGGGTAAGTGGATGTCGCTCTGCTGTACAGTAGGTTACAAGTGGGTCACTGTATAATGGATGGTATTAAATTTGAATTCAATGATACAATATCATTCTGAGCGAAGACGGTATGTCAGTCTATAGGTTATTAAGACATTATATATATATCTATTTTATTAAATTATATGGAATTTATGAATAAATTCCTTAAAATATGCACAGTCTTATCATGAGTATACTTCTTATTCCTTATACTATGGTAGATTGTATGGATAGGCCATAATATTTTGATTTTTCAGTTTCATATATCCCCGAATAATATTTTTAAATTGCAACAAAAACAAAGATCGTTAATATTGATTTTAATATGTAATTTCGACCAAAATTTAAATTTAAAATGTCTGTAAAAAATAACTGTGTTCATATATTTTTTAGATTTTTTGGTTA